GTTTGTTCTGTGTCAGAGTTCAATAATCCTGTTTACTTTTATAGACATCCTATGTTCTAGATAATAAATACGGCAACGACAAATAACGCTATTCCACAAAAATACAACAGTAAAAGCTTATACTATTAGATTACTAACATTGGAAATATAAATAAGTATGAAAAATTTTTCATTGAAACTGATATCAGCAATAAGGAAGTCTTATTAAATCTTGAGATATTAATTCTCTTTTATTAAGACCGTTATTCCACTCGTTGAATATAGAATATCCAGTTCAAAAGTGATACCAGCATAAGTAAATTGGAGAGAGGGCTAAAAAAATCAAAATTATGCGTCGAAAAGTAGCATAGGTAAATATGACAGCCGCTGGGGAACCGAGGCAATTTTATTTTATTTCCCCAGGAGTATAAAGAAAATTATTTCACTTAGCAAATCATCTCGCGCAGAGAATACAATTTGCATAATACCTACCTCATTATTTCTGGAATGTAAACGCCCGAGAAACCTCGGACTTCTTCGTAATCTGTTTGTGAAATTGAAAATGTAAAAGTATGAACATTTTGTTGAAGTATCGAATACGCTAAGGCGCTTTCTTTTAAATTGTTACACAATTTTCCTGGGTGAAGTTCCAGAAAACATTAACATATATTTCTTCTAAAAATGTAGACAATACCAGTATATTTTTTGTCTGAAACGCTTCTTCATATAAATGATACCTGTTGCTCGCGACTTCGTCCGCATGAAATTAAGAAAAAATAATAATAAACATAGCCTACGTTACTCACTGATATCGTAGCTAGTTAATGGTGAAAGACATTTTGAAATCGACCCAGCAGTTTTTGAGTTATTTCAATACAAATCTTTTCACTTTATAGTATTAAGCAGTATAGATGACCTACGATATATATTTTAAATGTTGATACTTCTCTTCAAAACTAAACAAATTAAACCCGCAGATCCGTAATACCAGGTAAATTAGCTTTTTAAAATGTTATATTCAACAACTTGAATATCTTTTCTACACAATGGAGGCCTGCACACTTGTATGCAAAGCTCTCGAGACTCGTTGACCATGAACTACTTGCAGTTTTTATACTGTAACTAACCGTTAGTTTCCACTGCCGCACTGAAATAATACACGTGTTACAATTATTCCGTAACATACATAAAATAATATATTGAATTGAGTACCTGCTTCTTTTGGGTAGTCGGTCAAAAAGCGTACAGCCAGATGTATCTTACTAAAATATCTCTCATACACTTCACACACCAGTATTCAAAACTTCTCAGGGTATTCTCGTTCTAAAGTTATAACTACGATGATTAAGCAACAATTTAAAGTCTAGTGGCAGTTGTCAACGTAAATTTACTGGAACTAAAATACCGTAATGAATAAGGTCAACGTGAAGGGAGCTTTAAATTGCCCTACGTCTGGCTTCAGCAATGTAATTAGTCCGGTAACGCTGGGCTTTACACGCTCCGATGCCGACTAAAATTTACACATTTATCGGACTTGTTACCTTGGTAGGGGATTTTCTTGTATGTAGAATTAGTAGATTCATATTTGACCAAAAATACAAAATAGAGATTGAAAGTTTTTATGGAGAAATGTTATTTCTACTGCAGATTTAAAACGTGATACATTTTTAGTTTAACTAATACGCATTTTAGCATTCCAAAATTCACTCTCCATGTGAACAAAGTTGTGAGCTTTTACATTTTGTGTCAATACCAATACGATTTCAACAAAGCAATCATGTCTAGCTGATTACAATAAAGAAAAACTTATGTCGTCTGTTACGTCAGCTCAGTGAAAAAACAATTTCGCTTTGTCCCTCGAGGATACAAAAATTTCAATACAAACTTATTGTGTTTGATGTCGTAACCTCGTTACTTTCTTTGACTTTGTTTTAGTCCCAATATATTGATATAAAAATTTCATCAAAATGTTCCAAGATCAAGACTGATTAAGGTTGTTTTTCTCTTTATCATTCTAATATATAATAGTCGAAAAAATAACAACTTCAGTTTTTTTTTATTGACAAATGATGTCATATTACGTAGATATTGTAATATTAGTCACCAATTAAGTTGTAGATTACGTAGCGGTAAAAGACCACGCAAGTTTGTGCAGACTGTTTACCAAAAAACATTTCAAATTGTTATAAAGCTCAGTTTTGTTGAAAAATATGGTTACAACTAATAAAACTTGAAGAATAAACGTTTTGCTAAATATTTTACAACTTCAATTCAAATATCTTGACAATGTGATGTTACAATGGTACTTTATATTTTTGTAGTCAAGTTTTATTCTTCAAACGACGACGTATAATACATGCCGTTTAGAATCGTGATGCATCGAGTTCAAGGTCAATGACCTTTGCAAGCTTTCAAAGCTACAAAGCAGTTGCTGAAGACTATTCAAACAAAAATACATTTTTGATTCTTTGAAGAATTCTGTTGTTATAGTGTAGCAAAAGAATTGTATAGGATAAAAAAATCTCTTCAGAGATATAAATATCTGGAGACAACGTTGGTAGAAAATTCTATTAAATTCAGAGTATCCAAATCTTGTATACCAATTTACTTGTAAATACTCATACCTAAATAAAGAGATAATATTAACATTTATGAGAATTATTACTAACTAGCTTTCACTCACGACTCCGTCCGCGTAGAATTAAAAAACTAAGTAGCCCATGTGTTCTTCCAGACCATACTCTACATTTATGCCTAATTTCATCGAGATCCATTCAGCCGTTGAGGCTACAAACTAACAATCATCCATCCATCTAAACTTTCGCATTTATTAATAAGTTTATTTGAAGAAAAATAATTATTATTTCTTAGTCGTACAATTAAATAATGTCTTATACTCGTACATAAAACTTTCAACTCGCTTTTTATACGACCTGACAAAGAAATATCTTGTGAAGCATTTTCTTTGTCAAGTTATATTAGCGTCTTGTCGAGTCTTAGTGAAGCAAAAAAATACAAAAGATGCCTTTATTGTTTTGCTGGACAAGGAATTGAATCTGTCGGAGTAAAATTTCTTATGTATTGGAAAATCTTTGTATTCATTTTATTTATTTAACTCGCAGAAGAAATTGGTCTAGCCAATAAAATACAGGTAAAGTGATTGTGATAATGAAGTGCTTAAATATTTTTAATACAAAATAATCTTTGATTCCGAACAATGTTAGATTTTCAACAAATAAGCGACCACTTGTTTAAAAAAATATAAAAACCTATTAAATTGCCTACATTGAAATAACATAAACATGTCATAATAATTAAAAAAATACAAAAAAGTGGGGATGTTTTCATAGTATGTCTATGAATGATTAATGCTTTTATGCTTCAAAGCATTCTTTACATAGTAAATATGAGAATGTTTGTCCCTTTCAGTATATTTCGTCCGTATTGGAATATTTGGCGTTGATAAAGCGAGCGAGCATACCTTTTACCCTATTAAAAACCCCCATACTATTTACCAATATTATTGTCATTGCATACGAGTTAATAATGGTTACGATGGCTAACAACCAATTAGTTGCATCAATGTTGTGTGAAAGCCAATAGTGGAATATAACATTCAAAATTATTTTATAACTTCAGAGTTTCAAAATGTAGAATACTAGCTTTTGCCCGCGACTACGTCCGCGTGAAATTATAAAAAAAAGTAAGTAGCTAATGTGTTCTTACAGACTATCCTTTACGTCGAAGCCAAATTTCATCAAATCCCCTCAGCCGTTTAGGCTACAAACTCTAAAAACATCCATTCATCCATCTAAACTTTCGCATTTATAATATTACTGACTAAGAAGTAAGATTAGTAAGATTGTTTTATGTAATTTTTCATCTTAACAATATTATTATAGATGCATAAAATAATTTTACTTACATAACTTTGAACATTATTATGATTTAATTTTAATGTTTCAAGCATCAAGTTGTTAACCCCAACCTCAGGAGCGTATAATGTTTTAAAATTAAAATACTTCTCAGCAGAAATGCAACAAAATCATCAAAAACTTTCATACGTTAACTCATAAAATAGTTTAGGACTTTCGTGTGCTGTGCACAAAGAGATAAAAGGATGCAGTTTTTAATAGTGTTTTAATTGAACTTTACAGTGATTTAAAACCTAATTTTACTAAAATAATAACAAGAATGTTATGAAACTAAAAATAAGTGAAAGAATATGGATTTGTCTAGAATCTAATTATATTAGTTTTGTAATATAATAATGCTGTTTACAAGCAAAAACAGTACAAATTCAGACCATTTTCTCTCTATGTTTAATTATTTTTTAAGTTTTAATACTTGCATGTTGAAAGATAATTAACTACATTTTTCATTTGTAAACTTTGCAACAGGTAGAAAGATGTAATAATTTGAAATAATAGAGTCCATTGCACTAGCGGTCGGTGCCCTTATCCCCGAGCAAAACTCTATTTGCACTCATTCTGTGTTAGTATTTCCATTTCAGACGTAACCAATGTTTTTGTAAAAATCTGTTTTAACATTTATTGCATCATATTCTTGGAAAAGTAATCTTCTTCCTTCAAGACCCCACGATATATTGCAAATGGTACAAATATTTAGTGGTAAAATAAGTGAATTTTTAAAAGATCTCTTTGTCAGCTCCTTCGAATAACAATACTAGCTTACTAATTACACTACCTGTGACTGGGCCCTCGTGGAATTAAAAAAAAAAACAAATGTAACATTTCGGACTATACTCTTACATATGTAGGTATATGCCAAATTTAATCGAGATCCGTTTAGCAGTTCTTAAACGATTACTACAAATTGTATCAAACATCAATCTAAACTTTCGCATTTATAATATTAGCAAGATAGTATGATTATTTTACTGACTCTTTGTTTTCAACCTTCTAGGAAAAGAGGTCATATACTTTTTGATTGAATTATTTCTTCTTGCTTGTCAAATAAAACAACAATAGGCAAATGTCACATCATAACTAAAGCGGCAGTGAAAATAGTTTTGCTTATTTTATACTTATAAAACGTATCAAAAACTGTTATTTGTGCCATTACAAAAATATTATTCGTATTAAAAATGGAGGAGAGAAGGAAAAGCAGAGTATCGATGCAGGTCCTGAAGAGTCAATCTATGGTGAGATCGACGGGAGACATCGGTCCAAATTCCATCAGCAGGCTTAGGCTGAGAAAGGCATCATTCGGGTTTACCGGAGTTCCAGGGATTAGACCAATTGAAAGAACATCACAGGTATATTTTAAGCCAATGTACCTCGTCCAATATTAAAAGAAACAGATCGATATAAGGCAAAAATAAAACTTGTACCTGAAGAATACGTTAGTGTTTACTTATTGTCAATTATTTTCCAGGTTGGCATGGAGTTTAGACGACCTCCATTACTATACTTGAACACATACCAGTTGGACCCTAGAACGAAATTCGAAAACGAAATAGTGGAAATAGAAACTAATAAAATATTAGATGAAACTTTTACCGACCACAAGTATAATGATCAAGTAAGTTCCAAAAAAAGGGGAAAACACAGAGCAGTAGACAGGGCAGCATTGCCACTATTTAAACGTATACATAAATCTGATGTACTGTATTGTTTACTGTTCTACACACTGTCAGCATAATGGTTTATTATTTCAGGAGACTCCAAACTTAGCCTTGCGTATAGCAGGTGAAGTGATGCGTAAAATCAAAGATCTTAATTTTAATCGTTATAGAATCATAACTGTTGTAACAATCGCCCAGAAGAGGGCGCAATGCTTTAACAACGCTATTACATTTCTTTGGGACCACGAGCGTGACAGCTACGTCGACCTCAGACGAGAGGTCAACACAGCAATTATACAAGTTACGACGTTCGGTATTTATTTGGATTGATTTTTTTTAATATATTTAAAGACTTATTAGCCTTAAACTTAGATTAAAATCTGTTGATGATAATGCAGTAGAAATGTGGCTTTGCCTTAATTTATTAAATATGATGCCTATAGGAGCATTAAACTGGTCACATATTTGCGTACTGCAATATTGTTGTATATCGCGTGATCATAATATGTTCTGTCCTGTTAAATTAGAGTTACATTTATTTAATTATGTTTTTTCTTATAATCCCGATTTATTTTTGTTTGTCTAATCGGAATATCTCCGTCTACTTTATTGTTTTATCATGTTGAAAAGAAAAAATAAACATTATAAGTAATAGGTGCATTTTAATTAAGATAAACTTACGTAGTGTGGCAATCATAAAAAGTACCATTTTATAATTTTTATAAGAGAATGCAACAAATTAGCGGCGGGAAACCTGAGGTAATCATAAACTGTCATATCTGAAGCGTCAGAGAAAATGCTGTTGTGTTGCCGGCCTTTATGAAATACCGTTGTAAGAGGCTCGCTTCTTAAAGGACCCCTAATTTTGAAATCAAACGAACTTTATAGTTAGCTGAAATAACTCGTGATTTAGTAACATTGTATTTATAGTGGTGTGCACGAAAATCAATTTAGGAACGTAGCTGCAATGAAACAGAACGGGCGGCGCACATTGGGCTGAATCAAGTTGCTCCATAGACAACTTTATCTGATGTTTGAAATGTCTCTTTTTTTTGCTTGAATGTGCTT